GCAAAGAAAAGCAGAACTTCACTGTGTGTAGCTCTGGAAGCATTGGGAACTTTAACTGGGCAGGAGAAGCTGTTTCCCAGCTTCTGCGGAGTGAAAGCTTAACGAGAGATTGTTCAGAAAGCAGAGGAAGTTGGACATATATGGGACAAGAAAGACAGAAACCTAAAAAATAAATGAGTTGTTAATGAGGATAATTACTACCTTGGTTTTTCTCCAATTTCTCACTGCAAAGACGTCCAGCTGCTTCTATAGTCATGTACCAATTCTCAGGAAATTCATTGAATAATAGAACAATGAGGCTACATAGATGGAGTTTCAAACCTCTAAACTTTCCTAACCCTAAACAAATAAATGTAGACAGTTATAACTATGACTAGATTTATAACAGATAATTTATAACCGACTGCTCAGATGGAAACCATTTTCAAACAGCAGTTGATGCTACAGCAGTTACAAACCTCCAGTTGAACTGCACTTTCTCACTGGTCTACAGCTCTGGGTAAAATGGCTTCCCCAGAATGGTCTTACTCTCCTGGAAATCCTGTTTGCCTCTATGCAGGGAGTCACAGATCTGCTCCCATGCATCCAAATGGATCTTCCAAAAATCTACGTGCCCTCTGATGGCTTTGGAAACATCACTCTTGCTCCCATTAGACAGGCTGATGCTATTCATTGTAATGGAAATGAGGTCCAGTCCAATGAATGCTGCACCACCAGCAATGAAAATGCCCCTTAAAGATGTGGAGACGGTTTTGCCGGCCACTTTGGTACCAATGTCAGCAAGATCAGATGCTGCATCTGCCAATTTCGCTGCTTTGGAACAATCCACAGCAACGTCAATGACCTTATAAAGACTGCTAACACCGGCAGCAATTATTCTAGCCTTTTTTGCGTGATCTTCCCATTTCCTAGCTGTTTTCTTTGTATCAGTCCCATGATCTACCATGTCATTCTCCACTGATAGATCTTTAATGATCATCACTTCGGCTAAACATTCCAACACAGGCTTCAAATCCTCCAAAAAGCTATTACAAATTTCTTTAAACTTATTTTTCTCATGGGCATTAATTCTTAATTGAGTGAAGCCTGTAGCTACACTGTTTACACCACTAAGAGCTCCCAGAACCCCCCCAATCACAGTGAGTATGGTGGATGCCCCCAGTGTCACTGGGGCTAAGGCCAGCCCAACTATGGAGACCACCCCTCCACCCACCCCCACAGTGCTGCCAGCAACACCGGAGATATCTGCCCCCTTCTTCATCTTGTCCAGCTGTACTGCACACGCTTCCATCTGTGCCAAGGATCCCAGGATCTTGGTTTTTTGTTCACTGAGGACGGCAATGAACTTAAGAGACTTTTCCTCATCTCTGAACATGAAAGCCAGTCTGAAGTCCTCATTAGCCCTGAGGGGGGAAAATCCTTTTTAAGTAAGTAAACAGGCCGTTATGATTCCAAAGAACTTTGGCTTTCAAACAGTTTGAAAGAAAAGTCATTTGCTGAAACCAATTGTGTGTTATAAATGCAAAAATGTAAAAAATAAATGCAAAAATAATTTAGCTACAAAGATTAGTATTTATTTACCTGATTTTGCTCAAATTATTGACATGGTTACTCATCATGTTGACAGCGTCAGGGCTCAGGTGAAGGTAAAACTGAAGGCAGGTATGTTGTTCCCTACGAGAAAATGGAAGAGAAATAAAAGTGTAATGCAGCATCTTACAGTATGTTATAGTCTCACCAAAGTTCTTCTTGCTTGAAGTTCATGATCTCAGGGGAAATGGGTGTGGGCAGTTCAAAGCACAAATAAACACAGTTGGTTCATTTCTAAATATCTTTCCAAAAATATTTTTCTGGAAAATTCCTGTAAATATTTTATTACAGAAAGTTCTCCTCACCAAAATGTAATTATTTATTTTGTTTAACCACGTTCAGACCATTTTCATACCAATAAGACTTACCCAGAATTCCATCTCGGGAATACTTTATTTTTGCACCTATGGATAAAGACATATTTGAGTATGGTTAGGTAACTACACAGGGGGCAGTTGGAGCAATAACAATGTATTCCCTGGACAGTCTTGTTACCACCTCTACCCATCTAATCCCTACTCCTCCCACACCCCATAACCTCTACAATTTCTACAATTACTGGATGGATATTACACTTACATGCCAAATTGCACAATGGTTACCTGTATTCCATTGTGTCTGCCTTAATGTCCATTTCTTAAAAGGTCCTTTATATTATTAATATTTTTGATATGTCTAAATATTTATATTCTGTTTCTCATCTGCACTGTGACCAACAGGAAGTGACATAACAGGAAGTAACTAATATAACTAATGGTACAGAGCTCTCTTTCATCGGCACGATGTACGATGTATGTTAGTTTACTTTAGGAAGGTCCCAGATCACTTGCCACCAGCACGCCCCCTGCCCAGATCGGGCTCACATGAGTTTAAACAGCTGGGCTATGTTCAGCCCCGACAAAATGTTGCAAAATGTTCACTTTAATGGACATAGTGCTGCGCTTAACACCCTTTGTGTTAGGCAGGCATCGCAACTATGGCTGGGATCAATCGCGGGCACTGCCCTTTTTATTCGCCGGGGTTTATATACACGTCACTGCTGATTGGGTAACACCTCTAACACACCCACCAAAAAAGAGAAAAGCGTACCTCCAATAAATCCATCACAGGTGTTTTGACCTCAGAAGGTCAAAAGGTCAGGAGACCAAATGGATTTGAATATTTGTTTAAAGGAAATGTACATAAAACTGCGTTGAAGGTGTTTTGCCAAAAGAAGCCTTGTGACATATCAGGGGTATTAATCTGCATGCGTCACGGTGGATTTGACATAAATATGTCCGTCAGTACAAGTGTGAAATACATTCCTTGGATATGTTGAATATATTGAATATTGAATATAAAACTGACTTTACCACAGTATGATAAGAAATGTAAGATTTACATTGTTACTTAGAGTTACATCGCAACTATTTGCATGGAGCAAACCAATTGTTTTTTTTTTAGCAGTTTGTAAAGTCGAACTAAGGGGCAGTTTACATCCACCTTAGGTTAAGATGGAACCTGTGCTTCACTGTTAGAACCCACTGCACACATTCACCAGACTAATAGGTCAGGTAATCACTATAATTGACAGACAACTATAATTATTAATATAGCTTAAGACATTTCCTATGCTTGTTTATGCTTACTGCCATACTTCAAGAAAGCACAAAAGAAATGATCTGTGGTATCACCCACTCCATCTTCATAACACTCCATTCCATTCGACACGTCTACTACTCCAGCCTGCAGAGACTTATATTACTCTATTTTGTCTCAGCACGAGTAGGCTCAAGTTTTCATGCATACAATGTGACTGCAAAGTTTGGAAAAAAAAATTGGTCAAATTATTTTTGAGTTATCTTGCTGACAAGCTCTCGTATATGAACTGGCCTCCTCTTTGTATCACTATGTGGTGCTCCTTCAATTCTGACATGATTTGTTTCAGAATTTGACCAGGTTCAGATCTTCACCCTCACAACATGTCTGCAGAGTATGAAAAACATCTGTCAAATAATGTGTTAACTCAAAAAGAGAAAAACAGAACAGAATGTCTTTTTTTTTGCTATCACTATGTGGCGCTGCTGCAGTGTTTGATCACTTTCAGTTTGTCACCCCTATAATATGCCTGTTAAGTTTGAAAAAGATCCATCAAATAGTTTTTGAAATACAGTATTGTCTTAACAAGAAAGCATCTGAGACAGCGGATTTGTCCTAAAAACATGTTTTCCCTTTCTATGGAATACAATGAACTCATACATTGTTTAATCACTTGAAAAATGCAATGACCTTTTCTCCATTATCTTACAGATGTCCTGGGAAAAACATATAATTTCTTGTAGCTCAGAAACCAAAATTTCCACATTATCAAGACTGGGCTGGAAAAATTTTTCAGTATCCTTCCTGAAGTAAACCAGGAGGCCACAGGACATCCTGGCAGCATGGATGAATGAAATTACATCAGTCACTGTGTTTCCTGCAGGGAGCCAACACAGTCTTTCATCAAAGACGAATGTTGATGTGACCGCCAGCTTCTCCAGGGCTTCCAGGAATGGCTGCAGCTCCTTCAGCCCACTGATCACGTCCTTCACCACAGCACTCAGCTCCTTCTCCAGCTTCTTCATTCTGATGCTCAACTTTATTGTCATGTTGTTTGCCTTCTTTCTGATGTCCTTCATCTTATTCATCTCTTTCTCCCTTTTACAGAACCACTCAGATTCCTTGTGAAGGAAGCCCTGGACTGTTGGAATGTAACTTAGGGTCTCTGAAATGTAATTGTCCACCAACAACTGCATCTTCTTCCTGTCAGACATTAGTTGTAAAAATCAAAATTATTCTCTACTGAAATAGATATATTATGTTCACTGAATTATTTATACTTGCTACATTTTCCACAAAATGACTAATGCAAGTTTTTCTATAGTGTCATGTATTCGGGCAGCTCGGGCACGGGAGCGAGGCATCAGGCACAAAAAAGGGGCGGACGACCCACTGGCGGCTCCGAGAACAGAAAGGGGTTTATTAAATAAAACAGAAAACACAACAAAACCAAAAGGACCACGAGGGTCAAAAACTAAAGGGGATAAAACTAAGACTACAAATCACAAATAAATAAACAAACTGGGCAGGTAAACATAAGACAGATCTAAGTTCAAACTAACAAAGCTTAGAAAAGCAACAATAGAACACAGAACAACAATGAACCACTGAGGAACTAAACAGAAGCAGGAACTAAAATACTAAAGGGGTAACGAGACTAACACAGGACAGGTGAGACTGATTAACAAAGACCAGGGAAACAGGGCACAGGTGAAACTAATACTCAAAGGAACTAAACAGGGAAACTAATAACTAACCAAGGAAACAGAAACCAACACTAGGGAATTTAAACAGGTAAAGACACAAGCAGGGGCACAAGGAACAAAACCAAAAACCATATACAAAATCACCAAATACAATAACTAGACAAACTCAACTGAAACACTAGGGAGCAAAATACAAAAAAAAGGAGGCGGGATTCAAACACAGGTCAGAAGTGTACACAGACAACCACATGCTCAACACATTGAGCCACATAACCAGACAGGTAACAGGGGAGAACAAAGACTAACATAAAGAACAGCTAGGATGACCAGCGACACCTGCTGGCCAAACGGGGAAGGGACATGGTAGGACCACAGTAGGGACTGACCCTGACATATAGTATTTATTTCTTCTTGTTCTGAAACAACATAAACTCACATTTCCTGTAGGGTGCCCATGGTCTGTGCTTGTCTGTGTCTGGAGTCGCCTTGGATCCTCCTCGAACCCGAGGGA